GCCACTGCCACAGCAGCCCAGACACGTCCCAGGGGATGTTGTGATCCCTCCAGCCCTATCCTGGAGCCAGGGATGTGTCACAGACAACGGGGAAGCATCTGAAAAGTAACCACATCAGTCTGTCCTTCCAGCCTCAAGAAGCGGCTGGGTGAGGACACATCCTCATTAGCCTTTTGGGGTCTGCTCTTCTTCAGCCACTCCACCACCACGCCTCAGCCGCCAGTCTGGGCAGCTGGGAGGAGGAGGAAGGGCAGGAGGAATCCCGGCGCGGTCAGATGGAGCCATAACTCACAGACCAAGACAGAGACATTTGTTTTCTAACACGTTCCTGCAGAGCTGCCTGTGGGACCCCATCCCCAGAGCCCCAGAGCACACCCGATGCCGACGCCACCCCTTTCAATACGATTTTTGCAGTTTACTGGGCCCGAGCTCTCATTCTGGGGAAAGGAAGGGATTATTCACTGGCCCTGTTTCAGAGACAGTCCTGTGAAGGTGTGATCTCCAGCCTCGCAGGACTGGAGCAGCGATCCCAACCACGCAGCATGCTCCAGGCATCTTTCCTACTCTGCTCTCTCCGCCTCGAGTTTTTGCTTTTTAATTTCCTGGGGCCACGGAGCACCATCGGTCTCCCAGAGACGGCGTTTCCCACATGCCGTGGGCTGGGCTGGTCGATGGGACACACCGAGCTAAATCAATCTCGACGCAGGGAAGTTACCTGCAAGGAGAAGGCTGTTCCGCGATGGATTATCCAAATACTTCAAGCCACAATCAGCATTAAAGCAAAAAAACCCCAAACACTCCAGGGGAATATTTAACCTGGTGGCTGCTAGCCATGAGCCGAACCTCACAGCAAACAGGGAAAAGCGATTAGTTTGCCGGAGCGGCACCATCCCGCATTGGGGTGTGACCTTGCAGGTGCACGGGGAGCAGGCACCAAACCGACCCCGAGGAGAAGCCGGCACAGCCGAGGAAGCCGTATTTTGGGCAGCTGCTCGATCCGTAACGTCACGGAGCAGCACAGCTCCAGCGATGCCATCACCTGGAAAAGACCCAAACCCCGCTCTCTGGCTACTTTTGTTCGGAGCGGAGCTGACAATGCTCTTCACAAGAGAAGGCGCCTTAGGCTGAGTTTCCTGGCCCAAATCCAGCGCCTGTCATTAAATCCTTGCTGTATAAATTTCCTGTGAAGTCCCAGCTCGCTCAGGGAGACTGTGCATCCCCTCCCCATGGCCCTCAGCATCCTGCACTCACCGCACCAGCAGCACGCGTGCAGGTGGAGAAGAGCTGGGGAGATGCAGGAGCACGGAGCGGGTGCGAGCTGGCTGCTGTGGATTTAGGGAGCTGTATGAAGGGGGGGGTCAGGGCTCCTCAGCGTCACGGGGCTCCCCTGGCTGGCTCTGCAGAAAGCATTGAGTTGGGGATGCTGCTGAGACAGGGCAGGAGGTGGAGTTCAACGCTCATCGCAGATTCGGGACGCGTTTCAGAAATGCTGGGAATCCTGTCCAAAAAAAACCAAGCCAGAATAAAAGGTGCTTTTATAATGAAAGAAATCCCTGGTGCCTGCAGGGTGAAGCGAAGCCCGGCAGAGTGCCACTGCTTCCCGAGGCGAGCAGTGCGGGTACCGACCCACGCAGGGAGCGCCCAGCAGCCGCCCAACAAAACCAAGCGGGGTCGGAGGCAAAGGCACCGCCTGGGAGCCCCGAGGGAACCCGCAGCGCGAGCGGCACGATGGCAGACCTCTTCATGGCATCAGCGGAGCCAGGGCTTCACTTGTGAGACTGTCTCTGAAGTCAGCACTCGCTGGAAAAGAAAGCGGAAGCTGTTTATTCCCTATTTTTATTTTATTATTATTAGTGTTGCACAGCAACGCTCACAAAAGGCACTCGCAGGTCTGTGGGATGCCCCAGAAGTTAACAAGAAACCGGCTGAACAAGCGCTGCCCTAGAAACTACGAGGATTTCAAAGCCGCCCTCCTCTTTTTTTCGCCTCTTCACCGGTCAGGGATCCTCAAACCACCACGGCTGCACCGCTCTGTGCCACAGCCGGACAGTGCAGCTCTCCGAGCTAAATTGGTTGGTGGGGATTTTTTTTCTCAGAGTACGTAAATAAATATCAAAATTCTAAACCAAAGATCTCCCAGTAACTATTATTTATCTTAAATTTATCTTAAACCTAAACAGCTTTGTCACATATGTACAACAATAAAGAAACCAAGTACAAAGGAGGAATTTGATTTTATTGGGTTTATTGCAAGTGCAGGCATTATGTATCAATTTCTAGTAACAGAGTTTTCACAGTTCAGTGGAGATACTGTCAAAACTTTGGGTGAAGCTGGTTTCACTTCCCCACCAGTAACAGGAGACAGCGCAGCCCGGTTGGTTGTCTTCGTTTCATTCACTCCTCACAACAGTGACCATTTTCAAACCATACCAGGGAAATCCGTCGCTTCCCTGGGGAAAGGCACTTGTAAGCAAAGCACATTTGAGCACGCCGTCTGAATTTGGGTCTTTTTAGGCATTAACTTGATATCCCAAGTAGGGTCACTGACAATAAACCCCAACATTTTACATCTTGCTTCCTCCAACCAATTAGCACATGACCGTGCACTTGCTAAGGATTAACAAAAAAATACCTTTCTGATTTTATTGACATGAATACTTGCATGGCAGCTAGTGGCATTTTGCATCCCAAATACCTGAGAGACCACACACCTCGCATATACACCCGATATAGATTTGGGCACCCATGTATCTCACTTCTTGGTAGCTGGTAGCTGTGCCGCCGAAGTCATTCGAGCAATGCACTCAGGCATTTCGGCGGTGTCAATCTCCTGGGAGCTCCGCACCCAGAGCTGCTTTGCAGGGCATGACGGAGCACGTTGGGGACACTCGGCAGCGGGATTGCAGAGCGAGAGGCCCTTCTGCAAGCCTTAAGCAGGCTGAAATCTCCCTGCCGGCAGTGGAAATCTGTCTTGGTGAGGATCATAGGATAAAAACAAAGACTTTGAAACCACGGAAGAAATGATTTTAAAGCTCGTCAGTGGGATCTGCAGCTCTTGGAACAACGTTTGCAATGAGTAATTGTAGATACAAAAAAAAAAAAAAAAAAAGAAGGGTGAGCATAGCTTCAGCTGAGCCCAGGTTAGCAAAAATGCTGCCAATGCTGTTT